AAAATGTCGCTACATCTCAGCTTTTGATAAGTGTACTACAAATTAATATTTCAGATCCGTTAACCAGTTTACACACATTTTTCAAAGAAATTATAAAATTTTGAAAAAAGCATATAAAAGTAATGGATTGAGTTGTATTTATTCTTTCGGTGTTTTGGATTAATCACGCCCTTATTGTGGACTTTCAACTCGGTTGACAGATATGACTTTCCTACTAAACAATAAATTTAAGAACAGTTCCCGTCACCTTGATGTTTTTTTGCGTCAGATACTAAAAAAATCTCTTAATGTCCAAATTTTTGGCTGACACACTGACTTCATCACGACAAAATAAAATTTAACCTTATTTGAATTTATCATTCTCAATCCGAACCGACTTCTCTAAATACAACATGTGTGCATAGCGGAGAAAGAGCTAATACAAATTTTCAAATCTTGACTCAAATTATTTGAACCCACGACCTCCCACATTCGAGGTGAGTACACCTCAAAAGTTAGAAAAGGCCGTTACGCGTACATTCAAATCAACAAAACATGAAGTTGACCGATAACCATGAAGATGAGATTAAAGTTTAATAAAATACAGTCATTCTTTAAATCAAAATTAGTTGACAAATATATCTTGTTATTGTAAAACGCTTTATTGTGGTAATGTCAGGTGAGCCAGATAAAAAAATGGTCAAACATATAGATAAGCATATGGTGAAAACAGTTTTTTTAAACATGCCTTTGAAACTTCACAGAACAATTGCCCATACACTGAAGCTGTACGCCTGTTATTATGGTGAAATACTAAGTAAAGCTCAAATCAGATTGTTAATCTTTTAACAAACCCTATCACTGGTTAGAACTTACTTAGTCGAGTCAGTACCATACCGTTTTGAGTTATTTTTTTGAGAAAATTTTACTTTTACAAGTTAAATGTTGATAACAACGGTCAAAAAGTATTCAAAAGATTTCAGTGATTGTAACCCAGTCAAAGAAACTTTTGGGTAAATGCAAGTTGTCAGCTAAAGTAGATAAAGTTGAAACAATAAGTTGTGAAATGTACAAGCCTTATTATTTGACTATAGCAAAATTACAATCTAGAAAAGGGAGGTGCATTTTTTGCAATATATTTAAAGTTACGTCACAAAGTTGACAATATTTACAGTCATCATTGGCTAAATTAAGCGAGAGCTCTTTAAGATAAATTTATTCAGCATAATTAAACCATTAAGAAAAAGATCGAAAACATTTTCAAGCAAGATATTCAAGCCTGCGAATGTTCTGGAGTACAGGTTTTACATCAAATATTATTAAAGAAAGAAACATTATAGCTTGCTAACTTCTACGTCATTTGGTCTTTGGTGGAAATTTATTTCATTGCTTATCATATCTTCTTATTATTATATTCACTTAATGCTCCAAAAATAATTGACACTTGTGCTCGACTTTATGCGATATTGAATAATAAGATATTGTATGGTAGTAAGTGTAATTGTAAGAAGAACAGAGCATTTGATAGTATAACACTCGCAAAAAGTTCATATGAGCTGCGTCGGATAGAGATCGACCTTAAGCAAATGAATATCAATACATCTGTTTAAACTATTTTGGGTTGTAAAAAATTTCTATGCAAAGTCTGTAGCTGTTTGATAATTGCGTTGATATAAAAACCCCACAAAACAGACCAAAATTCATCTTTTAGTTTGTATTTGATTGTTCCAAAATCAATCAAAGTGTATACATGTATATGTGTACGTGCACTTGCATAAGGTCGATTTCTATCTGACTCAGCTCATATATAAACGGGCTATATTATGGTATTCAGCACATAGTCTGGAAACGATGAATTTGACTACGATTGTCATTTCTTGTCAAATCGGTCAAAGCAAACGATTTTAAATTTGGAACTTCTTCACATTAGACAAATTCGACATTAGTTGTTGTCTTGTCAACTAGAACTAAGGATTATTTATTATTTAACTCCTTTAGTTTATATAGATCTAATTCGAGATAACGAGCTTTTGATTTTCTGTCTCTAAATCTTCAAAGTGTAACAGTTAGGAGATAAGCTGAAGGTTTGTACATAGTCATACGACTTTTTCGGGCTACTAATTGAACAATCAAAACAAAAGCATTTTGCGGACGCGATCACGAATTGGTTTACCGTTATTGAATATCTGTTTCACAGATGACGACGGATATGTTCCTGGTGTCGTAAAACAATCCCGTTCTCGTTTCCTCGAATATTTCCTACGAAATTAGACTTTTTCACCGGGTTTGTTCTTACATGAGCAACATGACGAGTGCCATATTTGAAGCAAGATCTGCTTACCCTTTCGGAGCATCTGTGATCACCCCGGTTTTTTTATTGGGTTCGAGTTGCTCAGTCATTTGTTTTTCTATGTAGTGTTTTGTGACTGTTTTTTTGTCAATTGACCGAGTGTCAACATTCGTACGCGGGTCACCAAATTCATGATACTGACGACAGTTGCATCAAGCCCTGATATTAGCATCCCGTACGTTGACCACACCCACCATGTGGTAAAGGATGTTTTGAGACCAATAATTTAAACGTGAGTCCATCTCAGTTTTCAAATTTACTGCTGCCCTCGGCTAGGGCGTTCACATCTTATACCATGAAAAAGTCAAGAGCAAATAAAAGATACGCAGTCGATGCAACCCGTAAATGTATGTACCTTTGATATTGAATGCATCTCCATTGAATAAATGGACCAAACCATGATTGATTGAAATATTTTTACTACTTCAATGATGACAAAAGATTTACGCACCAAAAGGGTGCTCTCTACATTTTATGAATAAATTGCTCCGTTGGATTTGTGTGACGTGATTAATGGCGACACAGAAAGTGTGCAGTAAAATCGGATTTTTTGCCATTCGTATTCTAATGAAACGCTATTAAAAAGGTTAAAAAAATAAACATTTCAAATATCCTATAAACTTTGAATGCGATTGCGCAATGTCGTTGCTAATCACTCCGATTATTTACAGCGGAATTGATGACAGACATCACCCAAACAAAGTTGGCGGAACATGACTAATTGCATTATTATATTTTTTTTTAAAATGTATCTAAAGCCTGCATAAAGATAAAAGCAAGTGCAGCAGTATAATGACAATTTTTCAAGACTGTTTGATTTCATGTAATAGATAAACACAAAACAAATGAAATTGTCGTTCTACCTGTGTAAGAATGGATTTTATGAAGACCAAATCGGCTAACGCAATATGTCTTCATGTTGGTTTTTTAAATTTTCACAATTTTTCAATGATTACATTTTTCTTTACAACAGCTGAACATGTTGATGACATGGATCTCCAACTCGGGTCACATGCACATGGTCGAAAATACGTCAGATTATTAGCAAATCGAACAAACTGATAATAGCTAATTCGTATTTAAAATACGGGTTTTTACTTATGTTTCCAACATAAAATATACTTTTTTTCAAATCATACTGTCTGTGCAAACAAACCCTTTGGAGCCGATAATTATACCGTTACTTATAGTAAAATTGGATCTCACAAAACATGTTTAACCCCGCCGCATTTTTGCGCCTGTCCCAAGTTAGGAGCCTCTGGCCTTTGTTAATCTTGTATGTTTTTTTAAATTTTAGTTCCTTTATATGTTTTGGAGTTTAGTGTGACGTCCATTTTCACTGAACCAGTACACAATTTTATTAAGGGGCCAGGTGAGGACCACCTCCAAGTGCGGGATTTTCTCGCTGCGTTGAAGACCCAATGGGGAATGTGTCAAAGAGACAACAACCCGACCATAGAGCAGACTACAGCCGAAGGCCAACAATGGGTCTTCAATGCAGCGAGAAACTCCCGCACCCGGAGGCGTCCTTTAGCTGGCCCCTAAACAAATATGTATACTAGTTCAGTGATAATGGACGCCATACTGAATTCCAAATTATACACAAGAAACTAAAATTAAAAATGATACAAGACTAACAAAGGCCTGAGGCTCCTGAATTGGGACAGGCACAAAAATGCGGCGGGGTTAAACATGTTTTTTGAGATCTCAACCCTCCCCTATACCTCTAGCCAATGTAAAAAAAACAAACGTACAACAGTACGCACAGTAAAACTCAGTTTAAGAGAAGTCCGAGTCCGATGTCAGAATAGGAAACAAAAGAAAATAAACAGAATGACAATAATACATAAATAACAACAGACTACTAGCAGTTACTGACATGCCACCTCCAGACCTCAATTAAACTGATTGAAAGATTATGTCTTCATCATATGAATATCAGGCACAATCCCTCCTGTTAGGGGTTTAGTATTATACCGTCATAAAATATATGAGAAGAACATAACCCGTGTCATACCAACTGTATTCTTTTTTCTCTTTTTCATACCAACCATTGTTTTGTATTGTTTGTATATATGTAAATTTTGTATTCCTCTTGTTACACGTATGTAATGTGTCTGAGTGATCAACGTTAAAGTTAAAGGTAAAGTTAATGATGTTCGGAATATTCTAAACAAACCCAAAAACACACGAAGTATTTTACGTTATTTTGCAACTGGGGTATTGATGGCAGATCCTCCTTAGTTCTTTCTGTTGAATTTATTCATAACTTGTATAGACCCGGGAAGATTTAGAGATTTAGAGATTTATATTTTATGTTTACGAATGTCTATTGTAAAAGACTGTTTATCGCCCTTTAGATGTTTTGTTTTGTTATTTTACGAGTGTCAGTCCGGATTAGGGGGAGGGGTCTTCAATTCTTTATTCATTAATTTTTAAGCCAGTTTTTCCTTTTTTTCATTTTCCTTGTCCATTGTAATCTATTCTTTATATAACAGCACCCAATTATTCTATATTCTTTTGATTTATTTCTTTATTCTTTGCTTTTGGCCTTCCACTTTATGCCCTTATTCTCTATTCTGCGAACCCAAACCAAAACCTCGTATATTGCAGTCTCTTGGGGGAAGTCCCCAGATCTCGTTTTATTCGTGAATATAAACAAGGAAAGATACCAAATTAATACGGTTTTTATAAGCAAAAACACACGTTAGGTACACACAATATATCTCTTCAGTGTATCATTGGTAGTTATCCCGCCATAGTGGTAGCTGGTGTAGTAGTGGTAGTTGCTGAAATAGAAAAAAAAATGAATATCTATTTTACATCTATACAATCTTAAAAAGACATAGCGTATGAAACAGATTTAGCGGATTCTTTATACCCTTTAGTGTTTTATAAATATAAAAGGACGACTATTCCCTTTTCTAAAGGAGAAATAGACTTTGTAAATGAATTCGTTGACCCGGAAAGAACTGTAACTAAATAATTAAAGACAGTAGGAAAATACCTATTTTTCCCACAAATTGCAAGATATATTTATGTTTAAAAAAAAATTCCGAGTAGAATAAACATGTGTGACTAGCAACAGGTGAAATAGAAATTTCCGTCCACGAAAAAATTCTCCTACTCTTTGCCCGACTTTCCCCCCGCAAAATGAAACGAAGGTACCTAATCGTGATAAATAAAAACCCACCGTTATGCATTAAATTTAGTGTTTCATAATGACAATGAAAATAAAATAAATATTGACGTAGATAAGATAAATATCAAAATTTTTACAACCTGTTAGCGTCATTCCGTGGAACCAATTACACAGAGAAACGAAGACATTAAAGATTACGACAGGTACGTACCGTTTAATTTTATTTCTTATATGCTTTTGTAAGCTATAAATTTCGCAAATTATTATGACAAATAGCCTAAAGTAGGATCATTTTTGTCAAGTATTTTTAGTCCGGTGACATTTATTTTCGTACTTAAAATGTTCGTGTCCTGTATTTTACTAGGAATATTCACGTTCTGAAATTATTGTAATATTCAAAGATTTTGGTAGGTGTACATTTTGTACAATATTTTTGAAGTTTGTCCGAAAATATTTGTATCTTAGATATATACGTCGGACTTATTTTCCGAACAAAATGGATAACAGGCCTTTTATTATGTTTGTAATTAGGATACATGAGTTTCATTGTTTTTACTAATCAAATTTTTATTATGAAAACCTCAAATAAGCAAAAAATTGTCTAAGAAATGAACTTTTAAAGAGCCATTACTTTCCTAGTTAAATTTATTATATGGCCTATTACAGCTAGGTAATTAAATTTCTTATTTTTCATTTTTTTTCCCATTATAATTTCAAAATTTTGGGAAGAGTTTTGATGTAACTTTGAAAATAACCTTAATATACAGGTTGTATTCGACAATGGATGTTAACCAAACAACAATCAATACAATTTGAGATGAAATAAATGATTTTTTCAAGAAACGAAGTTCTGAATAAAAATCTTATTCTGTTCTTTTTGTAAATTGATAAGATGGACTTTCATTACTAAAAGAATAGATTTTTTTTATTCAACGATAATCATTGTTCCCAGTTTTTTGTTTCCTTTAGGTAAATAGATACCCAGATTTTGCCTCCTAAATAAACTTGTCCACATTCCTTGTTTTGTAATAAATTGAAGTATACGAACAAATTCACTAGGAAAATAAGTGACAGAAATATCTAACTAACCATGGACTCATTTTTCAAGGAAAACTTTTGCTGAACTTAATTTCTAGACACATCATGATTATGTAATTACGTAGGAAATAAAACCTTGGGGACACTTTTTTCTACCGGAGCGATTTTAGTGTTACACTTTAACATACATGCACATGCTGTCCTTGTTTTTTTTAAGAATAACAAACACGTTGTGTAACTTTGATCAAAGGCAATTAAAATTGTGAAAAATATTAGTAGGCCAATATGTGCTTACGTTAGATCGTATGAGTATTAGCAAGACCACGTGATATTAAAAAAACAAAACTGATTGCTTAATTAAAAGAATTTGCAAGTCCAAAGTCAAAATAGATTAAGCGCCAAAATACACTTTAAACCATTCTTAACTCAGAGTTCAAGACCGGATACGCTCAATAATGGAAAATAAATATTCTTTCCCACAAAATGAAGGAAACATTTGTATTTGAAAATAAATGTCCGAGTGAAATAAACAAGTGTTCTTAGCAACAGGCTATAATGAAAATTCCGTCAAAGGAAAATCTTTGCTCCCTCCCCTTTTTTCTCGCCAAGTGTATCGGAGGTCCCATACTCATGACAAATCTTTTGTAAGCTATAAATGAGTCCTGGTATAATTTGCCTGGGCGGATAAAAATTGCTAGAATAAAAAGTCCATGGCAGCATAATTTGCCAGTATTTTTAGTCCGATAACAGTTATAAAAGTCCACTGGTATGTTTACCAATTTAGAAATGTCTACATCCTAATTCTATATATTTTACTATGAATATTCCTAGCTCTGAAATAAAATAATTCAGATATAAACTGAAATGGTTGACTGTTTTGTTGCTATATTCGATTTTTTTTGGTGTACCTATTGTACATTATTTTATTATTATTTCCCTAATAGATACTTATTTTAAATATTTACATCTGACTTGTTCTAAAAAAATGCATAACAGAATTATGTTCGTAACGTGAGTTTCATCATATGAATATTGGAATTTTCATTATAAAAATTTGAATTGGTTATTGATTTGAAAAAAAAAAAATATTAAGAGAACCCTTTTTTCCTTGGAAAATCTATGATAACTAAAAACTTAATTTTTCATTTTTCACTTGTTAGAAAATCAAGAATGCATGTATCTCTAGGTAAATGTTCGGTCAGTTATGGACATTTCTTTACCAAACGTTGCTAAGTAATAACATTGACGTATATATATATATATATATATATATATATATCAACCAAAAGTCCTTTGAAGATAAAACGCGCATCTTGCGTACAACATTTTATTCATTGTATCTATGATGAGTTCATCCGTAAAGAAACCTTTGTTTACAACAATATGTTTTCAATTGCTATTACAGTAATGTACATGTGTGTTGCAGTCAACATTAGATATAGGTTTATTTCTGTGTGTTTGTTTATTCCGCATTGGCTGGAGGTATAGGGGGAGGGTTGGGATATCACAAAACATGTTTAACCCCGATGAATGCTTGCGTCTGTCCCAAACCAGTAACCCCTAGCCTTTGTTAGTCTTTCGTGTTTTTTTTTATTTTTGTATCATTGTATGTTTCGGGGTTAAATTTGGCGTCTATTTCACTGTACAAGTATACATTATTATTTAGAGGTCAGCAAAATCCCGCCCCCTAAGGATACTGGATTTTTGCTATGTTGAAGACCAATTGGTGGCCGAGGGCTGTTGTCTGCTCTGTAGTCGGGTTGTTGTCTCTTTGACACATTCCCTGTTTCCATTCTCTGTTCTATTAAGCAGATTTTCAGGGAAAAAAAACTAATAAGACCAATTTCCCTTGAATCGATTTCACACCCGGACTTTTTTCAAGTACTTTCTTAAATTCATAGTTTCAACACCAAATATATATACTTTAATGTTTTAACTATATGCCGGCTTAATAACGTTTTGATTAAATGGAAATATGTAATTTATTGAAATTCTATTGTAAGTTTATGATATAGACTATGTTTAATTTCCTGTAGGATTTGACAACTTCAAGGTGTTGACCCTGTTAGTTAAACAAATACATTTTAAAGACACACTCTATACTCATTTACTGAGTAGGACGACGTGATCACAAAATCTAACCAAAGACAAGTGGACTAGGTAAGTTTAATACATACTTGTAGTGGTTGTAGTCGTAGTTAGACGACTAAGTAATGCCAATACTACAATAAGAAATAAAATCAATAATTGACACATTTCATGCGTATCAATTTATATTCAAGAAAATATTAATTACTTCAGTGTATAAATATTCTAGATGTTCAAATGCAATTAGAATAGCGATGAGAACGTTGAACATTACTAAACGTTTACAGCTGATTTCAATGAGTGTATAGGAAAAGGTAATTCTTTTGGTTTGCTTGCTTGCTAGCTGAACAGTGAAGTCATTATTAGGTTAGGTAAACTACCCTCCTTTTTGAGTAGACTAGTCCGACAGACAGATAGAATTGGTTACCTGTGGGACTAGTCTACTCATAAAGGAGGGTGGTTTACCTAACCTAATAATGACTTCACGGTTTAGCTAGCAAGCAAGCTGACCAAAGATATTACCTTTTCCTACTAGCTAGCAAGCAAGCTGACCAAAGATATTACCTTTTCCTACACACCCATTCTGACTTGGTACAGGCATTTCTTTATGTAGAAAATGGTGGATTAAACCTGTTTTTATAGCTAGCAAATCATTTCACTTGTATGACAGTCGCATAAAATAATATATTCGTTTGTTCTTTGGTGTCTAGTTGATCATTTCCTTTGTTCTTCATTGTATAATAAGTACTGTAAATCAGCTTACTAAAATAACGCGAATATAAATCGTCAGGATTGTGTAAAGCTTGCATCTTTTCTTAAATATGTAACATAAAAATCGTGAGATTAAATCATCGCGAAGTGGGCTAGGAAAGGCTAAACTCGAAATAGAATATCCGTGAAAATGAGTTGGTTTACAGTAGTTATCTCATTAGCAATCTTACCACGTCGTTTGATTTTTATGTAAATCGTAATTTCAGTAATAAAACTGGTTGTAAATTGTGCAAATACTTTCAGGTATAAGGCATAACGTTTGGAAAGTCAATAAAAATATTGTGGCTGTACAACCCTGACAAAATATTGTGGCTGTACAACCCTGACAAAATATAGTGGCTGTACAACCCTGACAAAATATAGTGGTTGTACAACCCTGACAAAATATAGTGGCTGTACAACCCTGACAAAATAAAGTGGCTGTACAACCCTGACAAAATATAGTGAACAGCTTGATAATCATCATCAGGTAATATAAAAATAAAAAAATATAGAAAGTCCTTAATGGTATTGTGATTATATAATCCTGACATAATACAGTGGACCTTGAAACCTTAAAAAAGAGAAAATCAAAATTAATTTGTAAACGTTTGTGAGTGTAAAAATCAACTAAGGCTTAAAGAAAACAAATCCTTCATGGTAAATTTTACATTGGAAAGTTGCAACCGTAGTTTAGATGTAATTACATAATTTGTTAACCAGAAGTAATTATTTGTTATAGTTGTACTAACATATAAGGGGTACAAATATCGCGGGCAACAACGATCCAAATCCTCCACCGACAGATCCACCAACAGGTCTAACAGGTCCACTAACGGCCCCGTCGTTGACAAGTAAAACTCGTCTTGCATTGGAACGTCTTCTAGTTGAAGGAACAGGAACCGGTCTAGGTACAGGTATAGGCAATAGCCTTCTACCTGGTGGAGCAATAATGGGTGGTCCTAATCTCGGTAGTGGTGGAAATCGTGGTGATAATCCTAATCCCGGTGGTGGTAATCCTAATCCCAGTGGTGATGGAACTATCTGACAGCTTACATCATCAGGACCATGCAATATTCCAATAACAACCGTTATGACAAGGATGGTCAGTTTGAAATACGCCATCTAAAAACAAAGAAATCTTATTTACATAGGCCTTTCTTGAATGGTTTTCAAAATAAACATATTCAAAATAGATGAATACATACATTATTTATAGCAAACTTGTTAACTTGGCAAGTATTAGCTACCAAAAGGAAAAAAGGTATAATTTTGTCACCAAAATCTTGCTCCGTTTGATAGGATGAAGGGACGAAAAACTAAGTGTATGAATTGAATACTGTCATTTATCATATTAAATAACGAAGAACAAACAAGAAGATACAAGGAAGATTAAATATAGAAATAATTGTTATAAACAACAAACAAGTAGATGTTTATAATAAAAAGGACATTATGACCAATCCAATCAAGATGAGTTTCCATTCAACAGAACAATTATATATTTCATATTGGTTATAAATAAGTCTATATACTATCCATGTAAATTGAATATAAATAAACCTAAATTAATTAAAAAACGCAAATTAAGAAATGCTCCTTATTGGTCGAACATTTGTTACCTTATCTGGGGCAGTTTGCAGGTAATTTTTTTCTGAACGAAAGTTGATTTTACCTGTTGCAAGTCTCGATTGTTGTTGCTTCTGAGCTTGAAAATTAATGTACAATGCTGGACACATTTATTTTCTGCCTTTTGTTGGGCAAAAAAACCCTTCCGTCAATATCAAATGGTCGTCCCCTTACAGCTTATTCTTTTTATATGCCTGTCATAAAAACTTGAACTTAACACGTAACAAAATATAAGCAACTTAGTTATACTGGGATATTATGGTGGATATAAATTGAGTTCTCACAGTTTTCTGGCACGTTCATGCTGAAAATGAAGCACCTTTTTTCATCTAAATCCATACAGGAGAAGCTAATGTATGTGACACGTCCTACATAAAATAAATTATGCCGCTTTCTGAATTAAGCCATGTTTGTCAATAAAAAATAGTTAAAACCTTCCTTAGTTTAAAAACAATTATTTGTCGATTTTGTTTTCAGATTCTGAATTTTTCTTAAATGTAGAACTAGATTTAAAATTTTTAGGATGTCTCTATTGAATATGTTTCTTTTTTTCTTTAAACGTGACGAATTTGAGCTTTAAAAAGAGAGGCGAAAGATACCAAAGGGACATTCATACTCGAAAATAAACTGACAACGCCATGGCTAAAAAAAAATAAAAACACCAGACAAACAATAGTACACAAAATACAACATAGAAAACTAAAGACTGAGCAACACAAACCCCACCAAAATTTGTGGGTGATCTCAGGTGCTTCCGAAGAGTAGACAGATCCTGCTCCACATTTTTACCCGTCGTGTTGCTCATGCTAGTACAAACCCGATAATAAGTCTATATCGGTAGGACACATTCGGGGAAAAGGGAACGGGATTGTATATTCGAAATTTGGAACATATCCACTATCATCTGTGAAACGGAATTTCCATAACGGTCAACCAATGGGGTTGAAGATTAGATATATAATGACTTACAAACTTTACGTAAAGTGATTCGTTATTTCATTCAATTAATCGGTCCAGGTAAAATATAAATATCCTCTAAAGAAAATTATGCGTTCGGAAAAAAATATGACATAGTATGTTGTCGCCTAGCATTCAATTATCGTTATGGTGACAAGGGGACTATTATCTTTATTGTACTATATACTGTTATACGTGTTTTGTATAATGGAACCGTTATATGTCTAAGGTATGCAACAATGACCCGAAGATGTCTGTAATGGACCACGGAATCGCTGAGTTTCTGTTGAATTTTGTTGAATTTATTTACTTATGACGTAAATACTTATCTAAATATCTAAAAATAATTTGTCAGGATTTTTTTTTTTTCATTTTCCTTGCAGATATTTAACTTAGGGTTTGCCCCGCTAGAAAATAATCTGCTCTTCATTAAATCTGGGAATATATTTGTCGCTTTAACACATCCTGTTTTTCAAAGTTTCCAGTACAAATTCAGTATGGCTTTCGGTGATGCTTTAGTATGTAATCCTCTATGTTGAGATTTTCGAATCCCCATCTGCGGAAATCTGAGGGATTTTAATCAAATTTAAAATTATTTTCTGCTGAGACCTTTATTTTTTAATGCAGTTTCCAGCCCGATGAATCCCTTTTAAAAATCTCGGATGTGTCTATCATCCCCTTTTTATATTTAAGTATTATGGAAGATTATTTTTAACAGAATCGAGAAAATAGATAATAAAAGTAAAGTTCTTTTGTATTAAAGAATAAAACAAAATGATAAAATAAAAATTCATATTTGAAAATAGACGTAATATCACCAAATTAACATAAAGTGATTATATTTTTTTTTATTAAAAAAGGAGGACATTTATAAATTCGGAGAGATAAACCGTTTATGTCCTGTAAAATAGTTGCAGATGAGAAACATTGTTTTTTTTTAATTTGAGGTAAAAAAACTCAATCATTAAACATTTTTTTTTCCAGTGAGCAATGCAAGTTCTATTGAAAATTTTAATGAGTTGGAAGATAATACAAAATTGAAAAATTTTGATGCACATCAACACAAAAATAGGTAGAAAGCATAGATTCCTTCACAGAATAGTCGTTAGTACTAAGGGTAGGATACAATTAATTGAATTATGAACTATGATGATTAAATATAAATATAATTATAAGTTAGTTGAATCATACATTGTATGCTTTCTTTTAGTCAATGATACATTTGTGTTATACCATGTTCTGTTTATTTTTTCACAAAGCATATAATTGTTTCATTAATATTTTAATAAAGTTTTGAATTTGAAAAAAAATTATACGTTTTTATGATCTGTTCGCACTCTGAGGATTGATACCGCACAGTTACGTATTACTCAACCAATCGTATTTAGTGTAAAACATATCACTGATGATTTTTACAGTAATTCTAATCGTCAAATATACATAAATTTAAAATTATAAAAAAGAGAACTTCTTCACTTATTAAAGAAAAAAATTGTTTTCTAATTGTTTTTAGTTTTGTCCATTAAAGTGTGAAAAAAAATCGTCAGCTACTTCTTAGGGACATGAGGGACAAATTCACACTTGTAAAGGAGCTTTATGATCCCGAACGTGTTCAATTTTAAGAATACTATTACCTATATGGATTTTAACAAAAGTCCTATTACTACTTATGTTTAACATAAGTAAAATTGAGAATGGAAATGGGAAATGTGTCAAAGAGACAACAACCCGACCGAAGAGTAAAAAAAAAAAAACAACAGCCGAAGGCCCTAATGGGTCTTCAACACAGCCAGAAAATCCCGTACCCGGAGGCGGACTTCAGCTGGCCCCTAAACAAAAATGTGTACTAGTTCAGTGAAAATGGACGTCATACTAAACTCCAAAACGTATGTTTTTTTTAGGTTTTATAATTTTCCTAAAGTTGTTGACATTTTCTGAGGTCATTACAGTTTAATGATTTATCATCATAAGTTAAAAAAGAAGAACACATCCAAGCATTCGTATATCGAAAAATATTCAACTCATGAAGACACAATACTGATAGGTAAAGCATGTGCTACGCGAATTCGTGACTCAGTGTTTTGTTGGTCACTCGTTGAATATTTTTCAACAATCTAATTTAATGATTATGTATTCTTTAAGTATCTAAGAATCAGCAATAAAAATAATATATTTTTTTCTAAAAACTCATTTCTTCTTATAACAACAACTATAAAAATAATTCGGATAGAAATAAAAAAACATTTTATTTAATTTTTGTTGTTGTTTCAGTATTTTATCATTTAGTCAATAAATGATATTGTGAAATAAAAGAGTTCTGTTCTTAGTTCTTAGTTGCATGCTCGATCGTCAAAATGTTAAATTGCATAATGCATAATTACATTTTATTTACCTGTGATGTCGGTGGTTTTCCTGACTTAGAAATGATCCATTACCGATCCTTATATATGCTGTATTGAGGAAGATAAACCTGGATACGCACGAAGCAAACCTAACCTTGTACATTTTGATGAAAACACGAAAAATTACTCCCAATTGATTGCCTTTAAGCAAGTGTAAGAGAATGCCATGTTATTCAATTATACATCATCGTGTATGTAGACATTAATTCACATGCTTGTCTACCTAAGTCAAAAAGAACGTTTTGGAATAACTAGCGAACCTAATGAAGATTATGCAAGAGACTCGTATTATGCATTCAACAAACTCAAATAGCGTTAATGAGAAAGAAGTTCAAAATGTCTATATTGACAAATTCGGCATGGTTGACTTAACTTTACTTTTAACGTTTCTGTAAAATTGAGAATGGAAATGGGGAATGTGTCAAAGAGACAACAACCCGACCATAGAACAGACAACAGCAGAAGGTCACCAACAGGTCTTCAATGCAGCGAGAAATTCCCACACCCGGAGGCGTCCTTCAGCTGGCCCCTAAACTAATATATATATACTAGTTCAGTGATAATGAACGCCATACTAAACTCCAAATTGTACACAAGAAACTAAAATTAAAAATAATACAAGACTGACAAAGGCTAGAGGCTCCTGACTTGGGACAGGCGCAAAAATGCGGCGGGGTTAAACATGTTTATGAGATCTCAACCCTCCCCCTATACCTCTAGCCAATGTAGAAAAGTAAACGCATAACAATACGCACATCAAAATTCAGTTCAAGAGAAGTCCGAGTCTGATGTCAGAAGATGTAACCAAAGAAAATAAACAAAATGACAATAATACATAAATAACAACAGACTACTAGCAGTTAACTGACATGCCAGCTCCAGACTTCAATTAAACTGATTGAAAGATTATGTCTTCATCATATGAATATCAGGCACAATCCTTCCCGTTAGGGGTTTAGTATCATACCATCATAACATATATGAGAAGAACATAACCCGTGTCATGCCAACAACTGGTTTTTAAATAAATGTGTTTAGTGCCGATGCAAAGACCCTATAAGTGAACCAATATTAACGCCAAAATATGCAATCTTTAATGACCTGACAACAGTATCGTAACTATATCCCTTCTTAATAAGTCTATTTAAAGGTTTTGCTAGCTTCAGAGGTGAATACTGACATTTTTGTGCTTTATAAAGAATATTTCCATAAAAAATTGGATGTGAAATACCTGAACGTATAAGAAGTCTGCATGTTGAGCTATATTTACGAATGATGTCCTTATACCGATGATAAAATTTAGTAAATGTTTTGAATAGTTTGTGATATCGAAAACCCTGGTGTAATAATTTTTCAGTAATACATATATTTCTCTCGTTAAAATCTAAAACATTGTTACATACACGAGCGAATCGTACAAGTTGAGATATATAAACACCGTAAGATGGTGACAAGGGAACGTCACTATCTAAAAATGGATAATTAACGATAGGAAATGAAAAATCATCTCTTTTATCATATATTTTAGTATTAAGCTTTCCGTTAATGATATAGATATCAAGATCGAGGAAAGGGCAGTGCTCATTGTTAGTATTAGCTTTATTTAAAGTAAGTTCAACAGGATAAATTTCTTTAGTATACATACTGAAGTCGTCATTATTGAGAGCCACAATATCATCCAAATATCTAAAAGTATTATTAAATTTGTGTATCAGATGTGTTTCGATGGGTCTTTGCTGATTTTTGTCATAAATTGTAACTCATAGCAATACAAAAAAAGGTCCGCAATAAGTGGTGCACAGTTAGTCCCTATTGGAATTCCGATAAGCTGACGATATACGGAATCTCCAAAGCGAACAAAAATGTTATCTAGTAAAAATTCAAGGGCATATATGGTATCGAAGCATGTCCAATTGACATAGTTTTTTTTTTTATTGCTACTAAAAAATGACCTAAAAGAGTTTGAACATATATATTCACATTCTGACTTTTTAAATGCCCATTTAATTAGGTGTGTGAATTTTTTCTTAATGAGAATGTGAGGGAATGTGGTCTATAGGGTAGAAAAATCAAAACTTTGAACAGATTCAAAATCACCAATATATGCATGCAATTTATCAAGTACTTTCAACGAGTTCTTGACACTCCAAAAGTAATTAATTCCACTATTTTCGAAGGCCTTATTTGAACAATTTATTATCAGGTTTTTGATTGTACCAAGTGTACTGGTAAGAAGAATAGACAATTTAGTAGTGGAACAATGGCTTGAAGACGAAATGAATCTATATTTGTAAGGTGTTTTGTGTAGCTTCGGAAGCCAATACATAGTTGGGACTTTCATTGTATTTGGTTCTGCTTGTAAAGCGGTAGCTAAAAGTTTATGTTTGTTACAGATGTCGTTTTCTGAAAATGGAGTCAGTTGGAATGTTGGTGAATTGGTGATTTCTTTTTTCAGAACCTCAATGTAAAATTTACGTCAAACAATAATAATATTATTAGCAGCTTTATCGGCCGGGACAAAAACAAATTCCTTTGCTAGTTCTTTTAGTTTATGTTTGATACGAGAAATAGGTTTATTGTGGTTATTGTTAAGAGTAAAATGTTCTTTAAAATGTTGAATACGTATATCAACTATGTTCATTACTGATCTAAAAAAAGAGTCCAAAGATTTTTTGTCAGCTTTTTCCCGTTTTATCCATTTCAAATAGTAAGTATGGAGTGAGTCGTGGATGATATTACGACACTCATTCCAATTAATAATTGACGGGGGACGATATTTAGGTCCTTTACTGAGGAATGATTTTAACTCTCGGTCTTGAACGATGTTAAGATCTCCTGTTATAACATGGGAAATGGGTCCATAAATGTATTCGGAATTACTGCAATTACATGAAGTAGGTGTATTTTCACTGATATTAACATCTTTACATAATTGGCTATAATTAAACACAAATTTCCGGGTAGATTTCTTGTAAATATAACAAATAAGAGGGAGCTCAGTATTATCAAAATATCCCGGAATTTGTTCTTTAACAGAATGGTATGTGTATGTATGTTTTGCTCTCTATCCATTATAGTTTAAGGAAAAAAAAAAAAAAATCACAAAAAATTGTAAAAACTTTCTTTAAAGGCCAATTACTCTTTTAGGGCGTCAATTAACAATTTCAGCCATATCTTATTTGTCGATCTTATTTTGCTGAAGTTTCTATTACTTACAATTTTTCATAGTTTCCGCAAAAAAAAAAAGCAAAAAGGGAATACAATCTTCTTTCAAGGGCGATTATTCAATTAAGTGGTTATTTGACGATTTCAGCTATGTTGACCTATTTTAAGATCATACTTTATTTTGAACCTTTCTCTCTTTCTACCATAGTTTCAGCAAAAAACACTAAATATTTCTTTTTCGCCTGTGTAGAAATTCATGACGTTATGAAACAGGTTTCTGCATAAATAAACTTGGTTCTCATGACGTTCTCAAATGAAATTAGAGATATGGTATATACCATGGGAGTTATCAAGAAACATTTTTGGCGTTAAAATGTTGATTACCTTAAAGGTTAAGGGATCTCCAAGGCTATAGAAAATAGCTAAATATCATTAGCACACAGGTCTTCTGTCGAAGCTACGATATACAAATACGGAGGTGTGGTATGATTGCCAATGAAACAATTAACACGTGAATACAAAATGACAAAGAAGTGCACAATTGCAGGTCACCATTCGACCTTTAACAATGGGCGTGTGTAATCCTGACTCATTTGTTGTCTGTAGGTAGTGGTTATCCCCTGCCAAATATGTTTAATTCAATGCATTTCGCTTGATTCATGCCGTTGTTTTCTCTGGGCCTTCTAGAGCTTACTATATAGGATGGGTTTTGCTCATTGATTAATTCCATGTGTTGACCTTCGTTTATTAGGTATTTTGGTAAACTCATCGGTAATTATACCACGTTTTGCAATTTTTTTATGAAATGCCCATTCTGATATCTATAGTTGGTTGCTGTATTACAGGAAATAATATGTGTTGATTGTCCAAACAATATCAAATCTGATCGGTAAAATCGACATTGAAACTAATCATGGACAGTAGAGACAAGGTCGTATTTTCTTCGAAGTTTCTTCGTATTGGACTGGATAAATCAAGACCAGTTAGCGTTTTCTTCCACTTGACAGGTATGTCGTTAATTAGCTAATCATCATGTATATAACATATATATATGGAACTGACATTTAATGTTTCTTATATCATTGTTTCCAACAAGAAATGAAGAGAAATTCACACTAGAATGATATTTCCTCAAAACGTTATTACACATAAGACATTAAAAAAAAAAAAAAAAAAAAAAAACTGTTGTGTCGTGAAACAAAGTAGTACGTTGGTTTTATCTTGTGAATTTTTTTACATTTTGTCATCATGGGGTCTTGTATACCCTACAATACGGTATGCATTTTGCTCATTATTAAAGACCGTACGGTAATCTGTGGTTTTCGTGGACAGTTGTTCCAATGCCAATATCATGAATATGTCAACTGAACCTGCTGTGATATGATAACTGCACTTAAACTTTTACTAGATAATAACTTTGCTTGCTATGGAGATTCCGTATATCGTAAAGTTATTGTAATTCCCATGGAAACCAACTGTGCACCACATACTGCGACCATGTTTCTGTGTTGTAACTAATCATAATTTATGTCTAAAATCAGCAAACACCAATCGAAACAACATCTGATACAAAAATTTAATAACTCTTTTTAGAGATTTGGTTGATATTTTGGCTCTCAATAATGACAACTTTAGTATTGCAGTAAAGAGGTTTATCCTGTTGAACATACTTTAAATGATGCTAATAGAAACAGTGAACACTGTCTTATCCTTGGTCTTGATATCTATATTTCTAACGGGGAGCTTAATACTAAAGTTTACAATAAAAGAGATTTCTTTTTATTTCCTATTGTTAACTATCAGTTTATTAATGATGACGTTCCCTTGGCACCATCGTATTGTATTTATAACTTTA